TGCTATCCTGTGCTATCCTGGTCTTGGTAGTGAAAGACATGGAGAATCCTGTTTGTTAAGGTCTGCTGCAAAGTTGGGAGACATTGTTGGATTTTGGAAGGGGAAACCAAGTGTAGACTCTATTCCTGACAGGAGAAGTTAGGTTGATTTGGCACGTGATAGGGAATTTTTCCGGTTCCCTAGGTAGGAAGCATTGCTAAGAGTCTTTTGTTCTTTCAACTATGAAGCTTAATGAATACAGTCCTTTATAAAATGTCAGTGGTTGTCAACAAGCACCAGTAGGGAAGTCTTTGGGCAGGAGGTGGGAAAGTTCTGAGCAGGGCAGCCCTTATGCATGGTTAGGTCATGTACAGGACAATATCTGCTTTAAAGAAACGGGCTCTGCCACACTAATACAGAGCTAAAGTTAACGTTTTTGAAATGAGGTGTTGAACAATCCAAGTATTTTCTGCCTTAGATCATTGTTACTGCATATTACCTTTTAATCCTGCTTAAGTACCTGTGATTCTAGTCGATGCACACTGTTATATTAGGTCAAGAATATCTTTTCTCTTGTTGGGGCAAGCAGATGGTGACACCAAGTAAGCAGTTTGTATTTTTGCTGCTTCCAAAAGGTATGAATACCTTCCTGTGCTAGAGCCAAGAGCTGTAATGCTTTAAAAAGAGGCAAATGTAGCAGGTTTAACAAAGAAGGTTAACAAGGAAGGATAAAAGAAGGATTAAAAAACATATGTTTCCAAATGTATGTTCAGATCACTCTTGCTACACAGTCCTGGAGCAATGGGGTGTGGATGTGAAATACTGATGCAATTGTTAGTTAACTTCCCATGCAAGCAAAATAAAATAGTTCCACCACTGTTTCAGGGACAGGAGAAATGTAATTTACCTGAGAAGAGTTATTTACTTATTATAGAGGAGGCATGTGGTATTAGCTGATTTTGATACCTCAACAGGTGGCCTTAGTTATCTTCTGAAAGCTCTTGCCCTGCCCAAGCTGGGGGTTGGACCAGGTGACCTCCACAGGTCCTTTCCAACCTCAGCTGTTCAGTGATTCTGTGAAAGCTTGTTTGAACCTGTCATCTGAAACTCCTGCCTAAATCAAGTTAAAAAAAAAAACAAACTAGGAGCAGTTAGTCATCGGCTAAAATGCTGGTTGTCATTCCAGATTTCAAAAAGGGTACGGGGAACTGAAACGCTGTAGATGAGGGAAGATCGTGACTTGTGCAAGGTTGTTGGAGGTGACATGAAAGTCAGAAACTGATGAGGAAGGAAGTTCTGTGAAAGAAAGGAAGGAAAGAGAAATCTAAATACGTTAATCCTTCATAAAAGGGGTTGCTTTATTTTTAGATCAGTCCTTTTATACACGCTATAAATATACTGTTCTGGAAATCCGCTCGACTTTATGTTACAGAACACAAAAAGGGTACTGTCCTGTGATTCCTGGAGTTAGAAGGACAGTAGCCCTAATAACTACTGTGCTGCACTGAATAAGCAGCTTTTGGCAGCCTTGAAACGAAGG